ACATATAGCACCACCACCCAAGGTAAAAATAAAACCCGAGGTAGAGAGAATCACCTAACAAAGTGTTCCAATCGGCATCACTATATCCCTCAAGTACTGCAGGATACTTGTTATAAAACAAATCATAATTTTTTGTTCCAGATAAATATCTCATAATTCTTCCCATGGCTAGCCAATGATCTCGACTTGGCTTGCTAATAAACTTGCTAAGTACTCCAACAACATATGTAATGTTAGGTCTAGTACAGTCAGTAGCATGTCTCAAACTACCAATCATGCTAGCATATTCCTTTTGATTAATCACTTCTTTTTCATTTGTTACAACAGACAAATGTATAATTGCATCAAAAGGAGTAGCAACATGTTTACAGTCTAGAAAATTATATTTCCTTAACATTTTCTCAACATAATTCGATTGATCAAGAAAAATACCATCATTAGTCTTGGTAATTTTAATTCCCAAAATAAATTTGGCTTCACCAAGATCTTTCATATCAAAATGGCTATTGAGCATATTTTTAGTCTCATTTATAATATGCAAATTAGAGCCAAAGATAAGTAGATCATCCACATATAGGCTAATAATCACATGTGCATTTTCACAAGTTTTATAATATATGCACTTATCACATTCATTCGTCTTATAGCCATTCTCAAGCATGCAAGAATCAAATTTCTCATGCCACTGTTTAGGAGCTTGTTTTAAACCATAAAGGGATTTAGTTAGCTTACACACTTTGCTTTCTTGGCCAGGCTCCACAAAGCCTTCGGGTTGGTCCATGTAAATCTCCTCATCTAGATCTCCATTTAAAAATGCTATTTTTACATCTATTTGATGAATTTCTAAATCATGAATTGCAGCCACTGCAATCAACAGTCTAATGGATGTAACTCTAGTAACTGGAGAAAAAGTATCAAAGAAATCAAGATCAACTTGTTGCTTAAAACCTTTAGCGACAAGCCTCACTTTATATTTATCTATAGTTCCACCAGGTTTAAGTTTTTTACGAAGGACCCATTTACACCCAATAGTTTTACAACATGGAGGTAAATCCACTAGCTTCCATGTTTTATTTGAAAGTAGTGAGTCTATCTCATCATTTACAGCCTCTCTCCAGAAAATAGCATCAGGTGATGATAAAACTTCTGCACCGTAAGAGGAATTTCTTCCACATTGTAAATATTATGGTCAGGGCCAAAAAAATTTTCAACTCTAGCTCGTTTACTTCTTCTTGGTTGGATTTGAAAATTTTCTTTTTCTTGAAAAACTTGAGAAGGAGTAGAAGAGCTAAGCATAGATAAAATATTTTCAGAAATTATTTGACCCCCACTATTTTTAGATTTGAAAGGAAATTTATTTTCATGAAAAATAGCATCACCTGATTAAAAAATAATATTATTTTCCATATCAAAAAATCTATAAGTTGTACTATGCAATGCATACCCAAGAAAAGCACAGGTGGTAGCTCGTTCACCAAATTTAGGTCGTTTAGGATCTGCAAGCCTCACAAAAGCTAAACAACCCCAAACCCTCAAATAACCTAGATTTGGTTTATGCCCCTGCCACAACTCATAAGGTACAATTTTAGTCTTTTTGTGTGGCACTCTATTTATCACATGGCAAGCTGTCAAGATAGCCTCGCCCCAAAGGTTTGAGGGAGCACCTGAATCAATAAGCATAGCATTCGTCAAGTCAATTAACGTTCTATTTTTCCTTTCACCTACGCCATTAGATGAAGGTGAATATGGTGGAGTAGTCTCATGAATAATTCCCAAAGACTAAACAAAAGAGTTGAATCCAAGAGATTCATACTCTCGGCCTCTATCACTTCTAATTCTTTTAATCTTTTTACTGAATTGATTTTCCACTTCAAGAAGGAATTCTTTAAATTTCTCAAAAGCATCACTTTTATTTTTTAATAAATATACGTTTGTGTATTTTGAAAAATCATCAATAAAAGTGATAAAATATCGGTTACCACCCCGAGTTAAAATTCCTTCAAACTCACACAAAGTAGTATGAAATAATTCTAACAATTCGGTATTTTTTTCAATACTTTTATGAGGCCTCTTGGTAATTTTTGCTTTACTACAAACTTCACATTTCTCAAAATTTTGTCACTTTAGGAATTAATCCTAAACTACTCATGATTCCCACATATTTATTGTTAATATGACACAAGCGAGCATGCCAAAAATTAATAGAAGACAACATGTAAACCAAATTGGTAGATGGTTTATTCATCTCAACATTCAATTTGAACATCCCATCACAAGCATAACCCTTACCCACAAAAATACCCTTATTGGTAATCACATATTGATCAGATTCTATAGTTTGCTTAAAACCAGCCTTATTCAACAAATAACTTCACATCAAATTCTTCCTCATGAACGGTGTATAAAGCACATCTTTTAAAGTACGCACACGTCCAGAAGTGAACTTAAGGTCAACCTCACCACTCCCAAGTATCTTGGTTTGACTAGAGTCACCAAGCATAATTGTTTTCTCATCATCAAAGGGAGTGTACACCTTGAACCAAATTTGATCATAACATACATGTCTATTAGCACCAGAATCTGCCCACCAATCGTCCACATAATTAACCATGCAAATGTCTGTAATCATTGTCACAAATGGCTCCTTGATAACGTTAGCCTTTGGGACAGGTGCACGTTTTCGGAATTTGCAAGTTCGAGCAATATGCCCACTTTTGCCACAGACAAAGCATGTAAAATTTTGTGAAGGTGATGGACCTTGGTTCTTATCTGGATTAATCCATTTATTGTGAGGTTTACCATAACTCTTCATATTCTTTTTATAAGGCTTCAAATAAGCATTCTTGGAATTGTGACCTTTGGGTAAGTTATTATTTGTTGAAACAAAGTTTACCTTTGTGGTAGAATTGCCATTACCCGCTTGTGTTATTAATGCATCTTGGCCTCTAGCCTCCTCTTCTACTCGGATGCGAGTGATCAACGCCTCTAAGGAAGTCTCCTTTTGTTTGTGGCGCATGCTCTTTTGGAATTCTCTCCAAGATGGCGGTAGTTTGTCAACAAGTCCTGCAACTACCAAGTTGTCACCAATCTTAATGCCTTCAGATCTTACTTCTGCAACTATCATTTGGAAATCTTGTGCTTGCTCCACAACAGATTTTCCATCCACCATTTGGAAGCGAAAAAAAGGGCTAGCTGCATACTTTTTTGCTCCTGCCTCTTCAGTATCATATTTAGGCCTCGTTTGGCAACCGAACTTTTTAGCCAAAAAGTTAAAAAGTTACTAAATTAGCCAAAAGCCAACAATCCACACCAAAAAGTCAAATATTCTCTTTTCTCTCTACTTTTTGCACATCTTTTCGTAAAAAGTCAAAAAGTCATCCCAAACATACTAGTTTTTTTTAGCTAATATTTTAGCCAAATAGCCAAAAAGTTACTAAATTAGTCTGTAAAGCTTTCTAAATTTTCTTTGTGGAAGTGTAAGTGGTGTCATACAAATCATAAAATTGATCAGCAAGGCAATTTAAGAGATAAAAGAGACATTTGTACTCATCTGTATTATAGGAAGCCACTTTTGCTTCATGTGCCTCGTAGTCTTCATCATTCATCTCCTCGGTTGGGATTTTGTTTGGATTCTTTTCGGTAAGAACATATGCAACTTTCAAAAGGCTAAGGTAAAAAAAAACTTTCCTTTCCACATCTTAAAATGAACTCCCTTAAACTTGAAAGGCTTATTGAGATCTCCAATTCCATCATTGATTTTTTCTGGTATTTGTTCCATGTTTGATCTCCTTAAAATTGTTGGTGAAAATACCAGAAAAAATTATATTTTATTGATAAATGATGCAAAAAAAAATGAGATACAAATAGATCAGGCTGAGGTACGGATATCTCGTTTTCTTTAAGGAGATCAAGCCCACTGCGGTAGGAAGAACCCAATACCGATGCAGCAGTTACAAAACTATGACTTGTCCCCTCCAGGATACAACAGCCCAACCACTTGTCGTATGGTTTAGGCCAACTCTGCACAAGATGGTGAACCTAAAGCTCCACCAATAAAACACCCTTCTTTGCTAGTAATCTCTCTTGTATAGAAAATAGTTGATGTGTTAGTGGTGTAGAAAAGAATAGATGAGAGGGACTATTTATAGGCCACTAGGACCTTATAGTTACACCAAAAAATAATGACCATTAAATAAGAGAAAATGGTTACACCAAAATAATGACCATTAAGTTCATGTATTCTATTTAACCTCTATTTATGACCAAGAGGTTACCAAAGTAATGAAATCCCATTTATGAAAAAGATAAATCAATAAATAAATATAAGATATTAAAATGGTCTAACACTTAGGAGTAGTTCAGGTTGTAACTTAGGAGTAGTTTCTTTCATTATAATTCGTACTTGTTGAATGAACATAGGTGATTTCAAATTGAAATTGCTTTTTCTGTTTGTTTAATCTGCCTTGTTACTATCAGTTGATATAAAACAGTTTGTTTTTCTCTGATTTACTTTGTTACCATCAGTTGATCCAAAGAAGTCTTCATTCTTTTGAGGCATTAGAACCAAAATCACAATTGCTTGATTTTTTTCTATTTAAGTTGTTCAGTTTGAATTAATGCTTGGTTGCTGTCGATCTAGACCCAGCATAATTTTTATTAACAATATCATATATGCATATGTGTGTTTTTGTGTATGTGGTGAATTTTTTTATTTTTTTTGGCTCTTCTGATAATGAAATCTTAGTTCCGTCCCTGTGTATACATAAAATCCTCCTATGGGTGAAGTGAAAAGAGAAAGAAATTAAAGAAGAACGAAAATATATATTCAATCAAATAATAAGGCTCTGAACTTGAAAATCTTAGCTAACAAAAAGGAGCACAATATATAGAAATTAGCTACCAACCTAATGACTATATGAAGTATTGAATTACATGAAATAAATGAATATATATTTAAAATAAAAATTAAAAAAACAGATTATTTTCATGGCTGCTTTTTCTGGGTGTATATATAATCAACATGGGCTGCTAGTGTTCTTCTCATCAAGCACTCTTCTTCTCCAACTCCTTCACAACTCTCTTCCATCTGATCAACTCTAGCATCCTTTGAAAAAAAAAAAAAAAACATAAATAAAATTAGCAAAAGATCAATTTAAGAGAAACCCACACATATTTTAGTATAAAAACCGATAAATATGAGTAGTTTAGGAAATTAGCGTACCCTATGTTGTGTTTTCATCGGAGTAATGTGGTGAAATGCAGGCTCTGGCCGAGCGGTGCATGTTAGCGTGAAGAAGAGGAGGAGGGCTAATATGCAAAATGTGCTGACCTTTGACATCTTGTTTGATCTCATGAAATGGTTTTAGAAGAGAGAGACATGGAAGAGGATGGAGTGTGTGTATTTATATAGCCAATTGCCATTGAGAGGGGCAAATATGGAATTATAACATAGTTTTATCACTTTTGCACAAATAATAAAAAATGCTAGAAAAATAATCAGACGGGCTCATAAGTTGGGTTACTCTTCTTGGGACATCCTTGTCGTTGAAAATTATGAAAATCTTCTAGAAATGTCATTGCAATGGATTTGTCCAGTTGACTAGAATTTTTTTAAGGACGTCAAATGTTACACTCCTCTGTGTTATAAGGGCCATGAGGGACCTCCCTAGTCAGCAATTGCCTTGGTGAGGTTTTCTCATGGATCCCACCTTATTGCCACATGTGAAAAATACAAAAATAAAAAATGTTACACTCCTCTCTCTCTCACTTCTAGAATTATATATATATATATATATATATTATACCAAAATATATATATGTATTATACCCAAAAAAGCAAAAAGTATATATATATATTAGAAGTATTATCAGATAAATAAGATTGTGAAATATTAATAAATAAATAAAAAAGATATGAAATATATGATTGAATTCAAAATTTAAAAACTAAAATTTTTTATAAATCTTGAATTTATAACTAACCACGTAACTGACGCAAAAAAAATAAAATAAATAAATAAATAAAAATAAAACAAAACAAAACTAAATGTAGCAATTGGGGTATTTGAAAAAATTAAAAATATAAGACATAAACACCAATAAAAGGCTTCTTTTTATAATAATATAGATATATTATTTCTTTCTAATGTATCAAAAATAAAAAAAATGCTAGTGACCCACAAAAATGTAGTAAGGAAGTTAGGCGAATATGATTGACTGTGTTATGAATCAAAAGTTGAGAGGATTTTTTTTATGAGTCTCAAATATTTTCCGTAAAAATAAATTGACAAAAGGTTCAAGTTAAGTGTTCATCATATTGTTTATTGTTAATAATTATAGAATAGAAAAGGAAAAAAGAAACGTAAATGATGAATTCCATTAGAAGGCATTTGTATCACCATGATGATTTTGTTGTCATGCTTATAGGTCCATATACAAATTAAATGAATTATGAAGGACCACAGGCAGGCATGATAATAATGCACGGGACAGGTTCATGAAAATTGAATGAGACTTGTATTCAATGATACACCTTCTCTTTGGATGAGTAGTGAAATAATCATGATATATTATTCTGAGAATAATCGTCCATAACTCATCAAATTTATATTTATATTATACACTTCACTTTTAAAATAATTTTTGAAATAAAAAATCATGATAAAACATATGGTTTCAACTTTGCTCATTACTATCCTATTGTTTCAAATATTCACAATAGCTTCTTCTTCTTCTTCTTCCTTAAGGACAACTGTGCCCATTATATCGTCATCTTTAGAAATGCAGTTGAGGATTTGTTGGGCCTGTAACTACTCCATAATCGCTCGTGGGTGCTCACGTATGTAAATTTTATTAGTTTGATTGTTAGATTAGTCCGTGCTCACGTGTGTAAATTTTATTAGTTTGATTGTTAGATTAGTCCATAAACGCATGTAGATTTTTCACATAATGAAATACAAATATGTAACAAAGGATAGATTTCATATAAAATGGATTCCACATATAATACTCACTTTTGAAATTATTCACTACTAGCCATAGATAAATCTGGGTCATTTATTTATGTGCAGCAAATTTGTCCCTAGTTGATTGGTCAAAGTGGGACATTACCTAAGTTTGGGATAATTAAATAATTCGTATCCTTCGATTATTTTTCTCCATTCATGTAATGGTTAGGAATAATCATTCAAATTTTATTTTTTTATGAATAATGTATATTCCCATTAATTATCAACAAAAAAAACCCTCCAAATTTTTTTTTTTTTTTTTTTTTTTTTGGGATAGTTTTATTCACAAGTAATTGAGTTTTCGCAATTGTGACTTGTGAGATATGTATACTAGGTGAAGGTTGATACAAAGAAATTGGTAGTTAGGAGGTACCCCTACTCTCTTCAAAAACATTACTCTAAACATTGTGGTTTGGATCATTAGCAAAATAAATTGCTTCAACAAATAAACAGATTCAAATAATGCATCCTGGGTATTGACCGACCTAAAGATTCTTCTATTGTGATTGATGATGTTGAACAATCTCAAAAGTCAATAATCCCAAATGGCAAACAATAGTACAACATTAAGATGATCGGCTAGTGTCTATTCAAAGTCAAAATAGTAGTTAATTCTTATCTCATTGCTAGTGTCGATTCTCTTTGTATTATCTCATTCCCCTGCTAACTCTAAAGTAGCTGGACCTAATTTAGTTGGTCACCATTATTTTTTTAAAAATTTAGTCCCAAGAGAAGGTCATCGGTTCAACTCTTCTTAAGTAGAAGTTGAATTAATGAGACAAGTATTTGGTACTTTGCAAGCGTAAAAAGGTTAACTCCCACAAGGACCTCTAATGAGATAGAAGAGAGTGATAGAGAGAGGAGGGATGAGGAGTATGGTATCTCCCTTCACATGGTCTATTTCACATCATTAGAAGTGAATTGAGTAGGGGTGGTCGCGATTCGGTTTTGGACGGTTTGTGGATCAGTTTGGACCTGCCTGAGTGTATGCAGTTTGGGAAAAATTTAACCCACAATTGCCCGCAGTGTGTGTTATGATTTGTGCGATAGGATTCGCGGATGTGCGAGCGGTTATGGACGATTTGCAAATTGGACTTTGTTCTTTAAAAAATTATTTTGAAACTTTTTTTTTTCCATTTTGTAAATATTTATCTTGGGCCCTTTTTCCTCCATTTTCTAAAATACTCCAACATTAATAATTAATGAATTAAAAGTTATAAAATTAAAAACACAACAAAATCAATTCCAAATACAAACAAATCATTCAAAATCCTAAACTTTTAAATTAATTCATAAACTAACATAAGCATATCTTTCAAAATCCTAAATTAGATTATCAATCTCATTCACTATCTACTACCCAACAATACAATTAAAGTAAAATCATTCAGAATTCTAAGCTTACTTACAAGTAATTCTTCATTAACTTTTACATTCATTCAAAATGTAATAATAAAATAACAACGAACCGAGTTTTTTTTTTTTTTTTGAAGTTTAAGTACGGGCTGGTTCTTGCAGAAGCAGGTTAAACCCGCAATCCGCAATCATATCATATTCCAAACTGTATTTGCTCGCATTGTGTCTGTGAAATTGTCTATTTGTATGCGGGTTGATTCAGGTTAGGCGGTTCGGATAATCTTATAGCCAGGCCTAGAATTGAGGATGCTCAATTAGAACTCCCAAATATTTTTCTTTAAAAATTTATATATAAAAAAAAAAAAAAAACTCTACTAATGTAATCACTAACAAAATAGTACTCCAAAGTAATTCAAAATCATATTCCTACTCTCAACACTCTCATAAGTAAAAACTCACGCCACTCTACTCCTCAAAATATGATAAAAATAAAAAGTAAAAAATAAAAGAAGGGGTAAATTAGATAGCCCAGTAAATAATCATCCATCTCTGCTAGCTAGATTAAGTATACAATGAAAATAGTTGATAATCAATAAATGTATTTTTGCTACAATATATGAATAATATAATTTAAATAAATGTATTTATCTAAATACGTGTATTAAGATGTTAAATAAAAAAGAGTTATGTTAGGGATTCCAAATAAATTACCAAATATATTACCAAAACTGTGAGACTCACACAAATCACATGTGTGTGGGTCCTATAGAGGTTTGATAATTTATTTGGGGTCTATAGCATTTTTCAACAAAAAAATTGATGAAATATCGAAAATGGATACTGAATATCCCACATGGTCCCACAATAAACTAGAGAGAAAGCTTGTTATTTACGAAATTTACTTAGTTTTCGTTTAGCATTGGCTTTTTTAATTGATTTTTTTGCATTAGGACTATTTTAGTCTAATTTTTTTAGTCTCGTTTAGTTAGATTTTTTTAATTTTTTTTGATTTTTGTGAGAGAAAAAGTGTAATAATTATGATTTAAATATGATATTTTGTCTTATTAATTTATGTAACTAATTTTATCTTTTTATACTTTTTAACCAAAAATTTAAACCAAACGAAGCTTTAATTGGGCTTCAGTTGCAACAAGTAAGGCACCATTAACCTCGGGGATTGTAGGGGTGTTCTATTCGAATTAAAAAAATATCTCAGTAGGTTTAATTTAAAATTTAGGATAAATTATAAACATACCCTTAAGGTTTACTTAAATTACAAATTATTTTTTATAATTTTAGAAATTATATTATGTTCCTTAATGTTTCTAATTTCATAACAAATACGTCATTTTATTAATAAATCATCAAGTTAATTAATAGTTTTTAATAATATTAAATTTTTATGTCAGTTAATAATTCAGATAATTTTATAATTGTCTAGGTAAATAATTAGAAATTTCACTTTTTTAATTAATTCTATTAAATAAAAAATTCTGACAGGAAGGTATTTGTAATTTTCCAAACTACAAAGGCAATTCGTATTTTAAGAAAACCTCAGGGGTGTATTTGTAATTTATCCTAAAATTTAAAATTTTAATTTTTATTATATTTTAATGTGAATTTACTAATAAAGACAACACATTTTAAATCTTAAAATAATTTTTTTATCATAGTACACCCTAATCAATTATACGTATTCTTCCTATTCAAATCTCTGCTTATTCTTCCCTAAATCAAAATTATTTTCTCTTCTTTTTCTTCCTCCTCACTCCAAAACTCTAATCCATCCCACCAAAACTCACCATTATTATCAACACCATTGTTTTTTATTATTTTGAGACCCTAATTCCTAAAAGAAAGTTTGAACAACATCAAACAATGGATGAGAGTAATAATCAAAATAATTTTTTAAAACAACCTATCAAACATGAGATAAGTATTCAGACAAAAATTAAAATACAATTATTAATTTCTATAAATTTTTTTACATGTCCCACTAGTCACATTAGCCTTCATT